GATTGTTGTTTTGGCCTTTTATATTTAATAGTACATGTATGATGGAAAATAAGAAAAAAAGAATAAAGCATTGCTTTACCGAGCCTGCAGTTGAGGGTAGTTAACCTTCACTGTAGGCTCACAACATACTCAAAGTTGAAAATCATCAAATCACATTTAGGTAATATGTTTATAAAAATACTGCAATTGACTGTATATTTACAAAAGGATCTATCTGGATATAAAACATTAAAAACAAACTTCATTACAACCCAGGAAGACTTTCAGAGTCAAAATCTTTTTGATAAAGTCTTTTTATTTATTTGTTTAATTCTTTTTTCATTGGAGTGATTCAGCTATATTGGTTCTTTTATTCTCTAGGATTCATCCATGGTACTGTCGTCTTCTTGGCTCAACTCCTCTTTGTCCATTCTTTCATTTTCACTCTGATCAGTGTTGCTATCACCGGTACACCGGTCTTCAAGTGATGCATTGTCTTCGGCCAAGTCTTTAGTTTTACTTTGCTCCGTCTTCTCCTGTTCTACATTATCCAAGCTGCTTTGTCCTCCCTCTTCTTGTTTGATTATGCACACAGAGTCTTGCTGAAAGTTGTCCGGTGGCCTAATGGGGGTCTCCGTTTCCATTTCCTCCACTTTCACCTTGACTGCAACGACTATTAAGACAAGTAAGTCAGCAAATTTACCAAAATGGGCAACTAGCATGCAAATGAGGAAAAAGTGACTCATTTGAGAATTGTCTCTTACTCTCCTGCTCCTCTGGCTCAGTCTTGGGCTGGATGAGTGGCACTTTTGGAGGAGTGCTTTGAGGACTTTCGGTGTGTTGATCAGCACCGTCTTGAGCTTGGTCCTGAGAAAGCCTCTTTTTTGTGTGCTTCTTTTCTACAAAAAGCAAAGAAAAGGAGATCATTCTCCTGTGTCAAGTAAGACATTACCGATACAAGACTACATATACTTTTCTGAATAAAACCTACTCTTTCTCCCGAAAGAAAAGCGCCGGCATTTCTTGTTCCGCACCAGCTGCTTTTCAATTAAGTCAGCTAGAAAACAGAATGAAACACCAGTCACTTTGTTTCACACTCAGAAACATCTATGCATCACTCATCAACCGGTCACTTCTGTCTGTGACAGTTTAAGGCTGGAGCTTAGTGAGTGTAGTGAACTGTTGCTGTATTTATAATCAAAATTGAAGTGTAAATGCGCTTAAAGAGCGCCTTTTACGCTAATTTCCAGATTTTCAGACTATTGTTGTTGTACACCACTAGAGGAGTTAGCGTTATTCATAGCCCAAAATAGCTTTGGCGCAGATGTGTCGAGGATATGTGCTTTCTGTGTGACATCACACAGATCCAAGATGAGAAAAAAACTGAAATGCAGCATTTAGAGGCGTCTCAAGCCAAGCTTTTGGCTCATGGGGATTACCTCATACTCTGACCTTATCTATTGAAACCTTGGCCATTAATCCCCTTTAATCAGAACGCCTCGGTACTCCTGCATTAACCCACATCACTTCAGTGCTCAACATGTTGTTTCAAAACAGTTTTACAGTCCGCTGTAGTTACCGACTCCAGGAGGTGACTGGAGCTGGTAGCCCATGAGCTCACACCAGCCAACTGGGTAGATGTCTGGAGACTGGTGGTCAACCCACTGGTCAAACTCATCCTCCCAGCCGTCAAAGTGGATGAGGAGAAGGCGGCCGACACAGCGCTTCACGGTGGCGACGCACAGGAGCCGTGGCTCCATCAGGTCCACGGCCTCCAGCTTCATGTTGGGGGAGAAGCCGTGACCTGGGTAGTCCTGAAAGAAGTGTCATATTTATTAGTGTTTTTACATCAATAGATACATTTGAAAAGAAGCCATCCTGTCCTATTAATTCAACTTATAAAACACGTGATAGCAAGGTCATCCTACAACATCTTACAGCATTGAACAGTCTCACGGGCGCAGCTTTTGCTTTGGTCTCCTCCAGGTACTTTTCCCAGGTGAAGGTCTGAGCATCGTAACCTGCCAGGAAATGCATAAAGCGACAGGAAATATATGGTGAAGCATTTCAGCACCAGCAGACAAGTTAACCTGCAAACTAAGAAACAGAAAAAACATACCTGGGGGTACAGTGAGAGGGATATTGTTCTTTTTACAGAAGTTAATTGGAAGAATGGCGTGAGAGGAAGCATGGTAACAAAACCAGTCTGAGCCATTGTTTGATATGGTGCCATCAATGCCCACCATCAGGTACCCATCAAACAGCACCTGGGGGAAAAAAGAGGAGTAGAGTCAGAGAGAGGAAAACCAGCGGTAGAGATACAATCTCTACAATCCACCTGTTAGGTGGAGGAACACACCAACAAGAACCTGCAGCGGGTGGAGAACTGGCTTTTGTAATGCTATGCTGAGCACAACAAGGCTTCAGCAAGAAGTACCAGCTGCAGAACAAGATGAAATCAATTCAAACAGTCCTCTATCAAGGCGCTTTCTATTTTATGGTAAAGACCCTAAAATAATACAGAGAAAACCCCAACTATCAGGAAAGAAGACACGCTGTGGAAGAAAGCAAGATTAATAATTAAATGCAAAGCGCTGTATAAACACAGTGCACGTATGAAGGAGTTAATCCACATGATGAGAGACCCACTAAAGAAGCAGCTGATTATACTGCTGAGTTTACAGAAGATACCCCTGCCATTAGCTCATTTATGAGCTGTTACAGTTACAAGGGCATCTAAATCTCTGGGAAACACCAAACCTAGGTGACAGATGATGAATCACAAACACACATAAAGTCAACAACAGCTAGCTCACCTTGTGTACTGTGGCCACACAGATACTTCCCAAGTTGAGCGGGTCAATGGCCTCCAGCTTCATTCCTTCTTCAAAGAAAGTTCCCTCCATGTAGGTGAACCTCGGCTGAGGACAATACATTACATTCATGTGAAACAGTGAAGAGGTAAAGCTTAAACTTGAACTGAAATGAGCATAAGCTTAGTAACGACGATGATTACTTCAGCTATTTTTGAGTTCTGACTCAAACAATCTGCAGCTTTTGGACTTTGGGGGTAAAACATGGAGAAATAAAAAATAAATACATTTAATGAATCCTATGATTTTCTAAACTACACCACAATCAAGTGCAGATTTACTGCTAACCTTATAGTACACTCGACTATGACTTACGTCAGTGTTCATATACTTCTTTACCTTTTTAAAGAGCATGAACGTACTGTCAGAATTGCCCCTCAGACCACTGGAAGACTCCAGATTGTTTGCTATAAAAATAAGAAGGTTTCATATTTTAATCTACAACAAATCTAAGAGGAAAAAGCAAAGTAATCTTCTATCACCAGCACAGTACATGTTACATTTCAGAAAACAGAAATCTTTAAAATCATGTATTTAGTTCAACATCTGTGCAGTTTCATGTCATAAAAACTTTCACTGTGATTACAAATAAAATGATCCACACTGCCAGTGTTACGCTGAGGTCCAGTATCCTTTTCTAAAGTCCGAGTGTGTCTCCAAATATTTCTTTCCCCTTAAAGTTGATTAATCCTGTTTTTACTGCTGACTGCTTGGTTTCCTACATCAAAGTTAATTCCCTTTTGCAAGTTTTTGTTCTGTACCACACATCTTCAGCTCCAGTGGAGAACCCGTTTTCATACTTACCAGGCGCTTTGATGTCATGACCCACTTTTTTGGACCAGCCTATCGGATGCAGGAGGGGACTCCATATGTGACACCAGAAGTCTGAGATGATGTTCTCAGGGGTGTCACTTTGGTCCGCGTACACCAGGCGTACACGGCCACCGATGTTGGAGTCCACGATGGCCACGCGTGTCCGGCTCACGTATTTGGAGTCCACCACCTCCACGCGCATGCCCGTCCTGAAAGAGTTCTTCATGCTTTCTGCAAGCTGGAACAAAGAAAAGCGGGAGGGTGGCAGAGTGACAGAAAGTTGCTGATTATGTGCTTAATTCAGTGACTTCTATTTCATTTAATCCATTACACTCTTTATGACATACAGGGCAATTCATAACATCAGGCAGTACCTTCAGGTAGAACTCAACAGGCAGAGTTTGGGCCCCCACCAACCTCTTCATCAGATACTCCTTCCAGTCTGGGATGTCCTGCTTCAGATCTACAGACACGCAAATCATCAAACAAGAAAAATCTCTTTGTGGTTTATTCCCCTCTTATTTTTCATATTACATGTTACATAAACATTTTAGTCATAGTGTGTGGTCTCAGGACTTCATTACACAGAATTTCAGTGATGAAACGTGGAGAGGCATTCTCCTTTTCTGCTCCATCTCACAGGACTTATAGCTCTCTCAATTAATTTCACTTGCAGACTTTAAAAGAGTACAAATGACCTTGTGAAATCATCACTGGGAACTTTTTCCTATGACTGTGTACACATTAAAGAATCTTTATTTTTGTTATTTTATTGCTATTTTACTGTTTTTTATTGTTGTAATTTTAATATGTTTGTCAGAAACAGGTCCCTTTTGTAAACGTGACATTGGGACTACCTGTATAAATAAAAAATATAAAAGTATGACATACAAACAACACATTTAACCTGAAACCGTATAAAAGATAAGATCAATTTCTAGTTGTTAACAACAGAAAATGACACATTTGTCACTTTTTATTAGTTTAGATTTTTAGGATGTTTTCTGCTGCTCTTTTACCTCTACTAAGTTTTATATCATCCTCCATTTACATTTCTCTGTCTTTTAACGTCTGTTAAGCTACAGGCAACATGTCTTTCTTCCATTTTATCTGTACTTTATATTTTATTTATCTTTTGATCTGCTGGTAGAAAAGTGCATTACAAAGACTGCAAATCGAACCAGTGAAAATACTCAGACAGAAGCTCTTGTCTGTTAGAGTCATTCATATATTCTCTAATCACAGAGCTGATGATCAGCATTCATTTGTCTGGTCAACGACCACTAGTTCACATTATCACTTCAGATAACTCGCTCACCTGCTCTTATTCTTTTGAGGATTTAAAGAATAAACAAAAACACCTTCACCAAGGTCAACCAATACTGGATGAAGCAGTTGATTTAGGACCAACCAGAGCATAGGCGCCATTTTTAAAAGCAAACTGAATGTGAATCCTAACCTTGTGGGGGTACCAGCAGCTTGCTGGTCATTGCGCACCATCCGATCGGGTTGAGCTCTCCTGAAACGAGGCTGCACCAGAAATCACGGCTGCTGTCATGCTCAAAGCCCTCGTATCTCAACAGGGCTTTGTATCCTGCAGACAAGAAAGGACGAGAGTTACCTGCCAATGTTGCTACTTTACCAAAATATATTTCACTGTGTGGAAGTTAACATCCTGAACTGTTCCAGGCAAAAAATTCTAACTGCTAACCTGGATGAGTTCATGAGACAGATGAGTGAACAACCAAACAGAATCGAGCTCACGCCAAGATCAAACTAATTGGCAGTAATAACTGACCCAACTTAGCCTGTTAATGCAACTTTTACAAATAGCATATCACATTTGGATGCATCTGACGCACCAGTGTCAGATGTTTTCTGCAGACACCGGCTGTTTCATCAGAGGAGAACAGCTATGTTAGACAAATACAGATAGAAACACCATTTGTTGAGGCACTTTTCACTCTGGTGCAAACCATATTGATACCAATTTATTCCCGGTCTTTGGTACAAATCTGTAGACAAAACTAAACTTCAATGGTCACTGAGACTTAAAATCTGCATGAATAGATTCACTAGTCTGATTTGTTTGGCAGCTTTACCCCAACATGCCTCAACAAAGCCTGGTTCATCACGTCTTCTCTTAGCTTGCACAAAATTTCATAACATTAAGGGTTCATTTACGATCAATTCTGATTGGCACAGAGCACCGAACAAATGCTACAGTGATTTAAATTATAGATTCAGTCATCTGAGCAAAAAGGAAAGCTGCTATCACAGCATTAAACCTGAAATGTGCGCTATATGAGTGCAACAACATAAGCGGTTCACACATTTACTGCTGTAAAGAAGATGATGATCTCTCGGGGGGTCAGTGCAACATTTGGTATTACAAAAATCTACCAAAAGATTTCTTTTTAAGATTTTTAAGTGCTCCAGATATCGTCTCCAGTCTCATAGCACAATTTCTTCTGGTTATGAATATGCTGCACTTTATATTCAGCACCATGAGAAGTACAGCAAACCAAGTTTTAAGCTTTGCAAGAGGCATTAAGATTTGGGTCAAGCCAAGAGCCAAATAAAATTCACTAATGAAAAATAAGAAACTAAATGTAACATTAATATATAAAAATGATTTGTGGTTCATTGGGCTGTTAACTGTTGGCAGAAAGATGCACATACCTGCAATCTGGATAACTGTAGCAATCCAGTAGACTTTACTGGGGAGGATGGCATTCGTGTTCAGCACCTCCACTTTCATCCCCACGGTGATGTCATCCCACTGGGCACAAAGGGGAGCCTGTAGGGGGTGAAGCCAGAAAATTCCTTATGGATCATCTGTGTGAAGCATTTTATGTACTCCCATCTTATTTTCCAGCATTTTCAAGAGAAACTCAATTTTCTATTGTTTTCTTCTGCTGATGACGGCACGAAAACAGCAATATAATCCTAATAAGCCATTTGAGTTTCCCTTTATTTGATTATTAAGTCAGTTCCCTTAACTGTTAACATTGATGGTAGAACGAGGTTTCCACAAAGGTTAAGAACAACATGTCGCTATTACAATAATATGTATACATTTCTTAGCTGTAAGTCTTTGTAAGAACTGCAGAACAGACTCACGTGTCTGAAGCAGGAGACAGATGCAGCCAGAGACGTTTCTCTCTCCAAGTATGCGGTCCAGTCGAAAGAAGCAACAGCAGCTACGTAATGGAAGGAGACACAGAAAATAATTATCTTTAAGCCACCTTTTTCTGACTGGCTGCCCCTCGTAAACAGAAGGTGGTCGCCAATATTGCATCTTGTGTCGGTTCATTGGCACCAAATTGGAAATCACATGAAATGTGCCGATTGCAGCAGGTTAAACAGGTTGTGTTAAAAAATAATAATAATAATAATTTCATGCAAACAAGCGTGCTCGGTGACTTTACCATCAACTCCGGTGGCTGCTGGAGGAGCTTTGTTCACTTTATTCAGCACAGTAGCTTTTTTCGTTGGGGGCTTTCCCTAAAGAAGCAAAGAGGGGGAAAAGAAATATTTCTCAGCGCCTCTTATATCCATACAGTTGGCATAAACCGTGAGAGAGCATGGTATAAGTCACAATCAGATTAAAAAAAAAACAAAAAAAAACACTCTGCCTGCGCTATGCCTCTAATGGCACGCAGAGGTGCTGTCTGTCAGCAAAACTATGCAAAGATTAATTTCATGAGGTTTGGACAAGGATGGATCATGAATTCCAATGAATATTGAGATCACCCTTTGTAACTCAAAACTTCGTACAGGCCTTTACAGAGGATCTGCTCTCCAGGTACCCTTCTCTTCGTCAGTATGAAAGTGAAGACAAGGCTATGCAGCAGCTTTTGGTAGGTCAAACCACATTGAATGGGACATAATGGTCATTTCCAGTTCTGTATTTTTTATTCTTTGGCATCACTAGAGTGGTAATTAAAGAATTCCTTATTTATCTTATTCTAGGGCCTTTGCACATTCATTGTCTACAAAAAACAAAACAACCTCTCTTCTTAACAACAACAACTGCTTTAAAGCCACTTTTCTCTGATTGGTTGCCCCTTACAAACAGAAGGTTTGAACGATATGTGGGTGTGGCATCTTCTTATGCAGAGCCAAGAGAAGAAAAACAACGTCCGGAAACGAAGGCCTTAAGCCTGGGCTGAGAGCCCTGGCATGTGGGGTTTCAGTACAAATGTCCTGCCTCACCTGTCTCTGCAGCCATATATTCGTAGGGTCTTCCTCTGAATAGTGGGCATGAGTGAACTGCGCGGGGACGGCGGTGGGTTTGAGAAGCCGGCCCCGGCGGCTCGGTAGGTTCTGCACGTCGTAGTAGTCGTCCGGCTGAAAATGCTTCTGGCACACGAAGAGTTTGCCGAGGACGTAACGGGGGGTCCTTGGGTCCATGTTCAGGGTAAAGAGCCATTGTCTCAGCTTCTCCTGGTCGCTAAGTGGAAACCGATGAAAGACGATGTTTGGCCTTTTTATGGTTAAGCAGGTCTCGACGCAACACTTGTGAACCATTTCAGTTTTTAGGAAACAGAGAGGTCTGTACCGAGTTAGGAAAGACGACCTAAGGCCAGGACACAGGCTCACACGTCCCCGCAGAGGTATTTAAGTCCAGCGCGGTCTTCTTCTTCTTCTACTTGTTATTTTTCTGCAGCGCTCACAGGTAAACAGCCTTTTTTGCAAATACTGCCACCTTGTGTTCAATATTACTAACTATGGTGAAATAAATTTGCTGAAAAATGTCTTAAAATTACATTTAATACTTTGCAGGCATCTACTCAGGTCTGTAAAGATGTACAAGATATTTCTGAATGGTTTTTATTTCGCTTTGAGTTTTTGTTTTTCACTTTAGTTTCAGTTAGCTTCCATAGTGCTACCGTGGTCAGCACTGGCGGCTCACAGCAGGAAGGTCCTGGGTTCAAATCCACCTTTCTGTGAGGTTTCCATGTCCTCGCTGGGCTCTTCAAGCACTCTGACAGTCAAAGACACACACATTAGGTTGACTGGTAATTCCAAATTAGCCGTAGGCATGAATGGTTGTCTATATTGCTGTGTTGGACCTGTGATAAAAAGGTGACCTGTCCAGGGTATAACCCTGCCACTCACCCCATGCCACCTGGGATAGGTTCAATCCCCCTGTGACTCTGAACTGGATAAAGGGTTGAGAAAATAGATGCAAAACAGCCCTACTACGCTTCTGAAAAATACACTGTACCTTAAGCTGACTGCTTTATTCATGGTTTACCTTTTATAATTAGGATTTTCTGATATGCAACGTGTAAAATAAAATAAATTATTATTTGGTGAAGAAACCCTTTTTGGCAGGTATAGTGGTAAGATGTTTCTTGAAGTGGGTCATCAGGCTTGGACACATCCCAGGAGAGATGTTGGACCACTCCTCTTTATAGAAACTCTCTTAATCCTTTAGGTTTCTTGGCTGCTGCTTGGTAATTCTAAGCTTCAGCTCCCTTCACAGATTTTCACAGGGCCGAGGTCTGAAGACTCGCTAGGGAACTCCATGGCCTTAATGTGCTTCTTCTTTAGCCACTCCTTTGTTGCCGGGGTTTTGGGTCACTGTCATGCTGGCAAACCCATCTTCAGTGTTCTGTCTGAAAGAAGGAGGTTCACATCCAAGACCTTACGGTACATGCCCCCATCCATTGCTGACTCAATGCAGTGAAGTCGCCCTGTATTCCTTGCAGAAAACCAGGCCCAAAGCACAACAAATCCTCTTCAGTGATTGACTGCGGGGATGGTGTGACCATTCATTTCTTTGGAAATTCAGCAGGGGATCAGATAACTATTTCCCCCACTATAGACGCAGAGCCAAAATCCCAAATAAAAAAATAAACATTTCATACTTTCAGCTTTTAAAATGAGTGAATTTTTTGCAATTGATTTCAGTAATTTTCAATAATTCATAGATTTGTAACATTGAAAGTAGCGTGCTGAAGCCGTTCATGGATTCACTACAGGACTTTAGATAATTCTTTGTTTGTTTTTGAAACAAATTAAAGCAACCCCACACCTGTCCAAGCTGCTGAGCAACACACTCACGAATGGAAAAACTAGTACATCTCTTTGCCCAATCCGGTGACACTGACTGTGTCAAACTCCCAAAATGGATTATTGAATAAGGCAAGGCAGCTAATTCAAACTGCCCCTCTGGTGGTCCCCAGTGTTCAAAAATACATAAATAAATAGATTAGAAAAAAGTCAAACTCTTTCTGACCTGCAGACGTGCTAGAATGGATGACTTCTTAGAGTTTGATGAATAAGAACGAGAGCAGGATGTACTGCAGAAGCGCTTAGTCTTTGAATAGAAGTTGTTGATATTCCCGGTTGTTCCACACATCTCACAAACCACTGTGAAAAAAAAGCAATCAAAAAAGTTTTTGCTTAATGTAAAACATTATGAACATTATTAACAGTGCAGGTGCACCTCACCTGGTCGCTCGTTCAGCACCTTTAACCCTCCTCCTGTTAGATGTCGTTCTTTACCTCTTTCATTAGCATCCTCATGCTCTTTGGGTGCCATTTCATTGTGTCCAGCCTATGAAGGAAAAAAAACAAACGTCCCACCTGTAAACAGTAGGTGTAAGCCCCCCCCCCCAACAGTCCAAAATAATTGCTACTCACACTAATGGTTTGCTCTCTTGGTTCAGCTGAAATGGTCCTGTGTTGGATAGAAGGCAGGCAGCTACCGCAGCCCGCGCCATTGCAGGAAGGACAGTGCGGACGGACAAACACTGTAGGAGCAGCTCCCGGCCTCAGCTTCAGAGGCCCCGCTGCCAGTCTGGGTTCAAAGTACTCCTTGCCAAAATGCTCATTGCAAAGGTAAGAATTGGGTGTGGCAACCCACTGCATGCGGGTGCGCTGGACCTGCTTCTCCCATTTCCGAAACTCTTCAGGGTCCTTGGGGAATTTAAACAGGGTTACGCCTTCTTCGGTAGTTTTTCCACATCCATAAGCCACGCAGTGGTAAGGCATCCTCGGAGCTTACACCATGAGCGCCTTTCATGGATCCTTTCTTCTTCTCAGTTGTGCTGTTTTGTTCTCTGAGTTGTGCAAAGAAAAGAAATAATTGTATCTTCCAACCGGAAGTTGGTTTTCTAATTTTCACACACAACCATCTCTAGGGTTTACGAGAATGGTCCAAACAAGACGAAATATCCAGTGAGCAGCAGTTCTCTAGGTAAAAATTCTTCTCTGACCCCAGGGGTCAAAGAAAAATTCCCAGAGTGCTATAACCTGGGAATTTTGCAACCAAGGTATGCTGACCATCGCTAAGATGGCACAACCTACCTAAATATTGCTGCTGACCATTTCCACCCCACTGAACAAAGTGTACACATCCTTTGGTCACTGCTTCCAGCAGGATTACAAACCATGTCACAAAACTCAAATCACCTTAAACTGGTTTCTTGAACATGACAATGGGTTCACTGTACTCAAATGGCTTCCGTAATCACAAACCTGCAGTAACTGTGGCGCCATCATGTCAATATGGACCAAAATCTCTGATAAATGTTTCCAGCATTATGAAGAATAAAGGCACTTCTGAAGGCAAAAGAGGGTCCAACCCACTACTAGCAAGGTGTACCTAACAAAGTGGCCGGAGAGTGTGTATTGGCTCTATTTGCCTCATTATAATATTCTCTACATTGAAAAACCTACATTAAAATGACAGGAAGCTTCGCACTTTATTTTATCTGTAATGTCGACATAATGTTTAACAAACACAAGACAGTGAAACATGACAAACAGAAGTTTGTCTTGAAAAGGCGGCCCTTTCGTCATCGTTATTATTATTTCTAATATCGCCGTTAAAGCACAGTTACAGCTGACTGCTTCATAAGTTGAGTCTAAGCGTAAACAATGTAACTACTGTACACCAAAGCTAAGTGATAACAATGCTAAAAGTACTTGTGTGCAGTTATGAAGCTGCACTTTGCTCGTCATGACTTCAAACGTGTACTTACAGGAGGTTAGTGACTGCTGGCACTCAGTAAAATGTCTCTTAGGTGTACAAACTGATTTGGGTATCAAATGTTAATGTATCTTCATAGCTGCCCAGTACTGTAATGTGGTCGCTCACATTTAGCGTCATCTACTTACGCGTGTGCAAGGAATTCTGGGAGTTGATGTTTTTACGACAATTGGAAAAAAGTCGCTCTCCTAGTCACAAATAAGTCATTTTACAGGCATTCAGGTGTTTGTAAAAATAGCCTTCTGTCGGTCTATGAAAAAGAAGTTTGCGGACACCTTGCTATTCAATTATTATTAATCTTAGGCCTTTGCACAGTGTAGAAAAATAAATAAACATAACCAATAATGAGGCAAAATATACAAACAAATATTAAGTAAAATATGTTTTGTAATTTAGATTACTTAAAGCAACCGCTGCTGGGCTCAGCACTGACAACAAATGGCAGTATCTCTACGAGGCAGTCATTTTTGTTGTCTCTTAACATGCGAGATTTGTTATGCTCCCCTGCAACTCCTAATGGCTTTGCAGTGGCAGTGTAGACTTTGGGCGTTGCCCGGGCTTAATTGCTAGTTATTGGCATCACCTGACAAGGTGTGGATAAAGGCAGACTTCACGAAGGATGCTGTAATGCTCTCCTGCTTGCAAGTTTCAGCTTTGAATGTGTAATGATTAAAAAAAATCCCTGTGTTTCTGAAAAACAAACAAACAAAAAACTCTGGTGTCAGTCTTGATTTTGTGTTGAGTTAGTATTGCTGGGACATAACAGCTTAAAAGTTGATTGGTGAAATTCCTTGACTTCGAGTTGTGTTGCTCCTAAGTAGTGCTGATAGACAGCAAAAAGTATTTTTTGTCTACTGTACTTAGCCATATTTTTGCAAGAACTGCTTAACTAACTAAAGAGAAATGCTTGTCAGCACCTTAGAATGGAAGATCCATCTGTGTTTCTCAGAGCTGAAACATCTCATCATCAGCTTTTTGGAGAAGCACCCTCAGAATCATTCCCCGCGGTGACTGCTCCAAAAGCAATCACTGCTAAACTAAATCAATAAGAAAAATAAAACTCAGAGGAATGGATGTTAGACCATTTGAATGTGATTTGGCAGTAGCTGCTGTGTCTTCATGAGAAGAAGAGTAGATGAAGTGATGGTATTCACATGTGTGGTTCCCAAAAAGAAGTACGGAGGAAGAAGCGGGATCGTGCGGTGCACCTTTACTGGTGACACCCTTTAATTAAGGGAAACTAGTGTGAAGCAAACTGAGACAATGCCAAGAATGTGTAGTTTCTATTAAAGTCAGTTTGAATATATATTAAAATATATTATATAATAATATTTGTATTTATATATATTAAAATACAAATATTACTATTAAAGAGTGACACACTAGATTTAAGTTTTGTGAGGCTTGGAAATATTTAAAATTTCAAATTAAAATTATTTAAATTAATTTGCTTGTATTTACTTATAATTTTGCCAGCTGAGAAGTTTTGTTAAACCACATTAAAGCAAAGTCATGTTAAAAAATAAAGTTTTCTTAGGATTGTATGCAGTCCTGTGAAAAACTAAGTATACCGATACTGCTAATACAGAAATTAACAGGATAAGTAGCAGTTAGGTTTTGCTAATCAACTTCTCAGAAGTGGATGTCGCAGCAAAAAAACAGAGAAACTGCAAAAAATCCCAAGAGCCTCAACAGGCCTCGTTTAGCATGCTAAATTATAAAGTTTGTCACAGTACAATTAGAAAAAGCCTTATTTGGAAGGATTGCCTGCTCTCTAAAAACACATGGCAGCAAGGGTTAGGTTTGCAAAGTTGCATCTGACCAAACCACACAACTCCTGGGACAATGTCTTTGGAACAGACAAGACCAAAATAGAGATATTTGGTCATAGTGCACAGAACCATGTTTGACCAAAATCTCAGCATATCAGCACAAACACCTCACAACAGCTGTCAAACGTGGGTGATGATTTAGGCTTATTTTGCAGCCACCAGGACCTGGGCACCTCACTATCACTGAGTCAACCATGAACTCCTCAGTGTACCAAAGTATTCTAGAGTCAAACGTGAGGCCATCTGTGTGACGGCCAGCTTGGCTTGGCTCAAATTGGGTCATGTAACATCACAACGATCCCAAGCACTCCAGCAAATCTACAACAAGAATCAAAGTATTGGAGTGACTGAGTCAAAGGCCAGACTTCAGCCTGACTGTTGCAGAGCAAGTGAGAGAAGAGTGAGCCAAAAATGATTCTGTAACGATGTGAGAAACTGACAAAGTCATACAGAAAGCGAGCATTTCATGTTATTGCTGCTAAAGGTGGCTTTACAAACTGGAGAATCATGAGATACACTTAATTTTTCACAGAGTGCTGGGAAAATGTTCTATTTCACAAAGGACTGTTTGAGAAAAGAACAAAATTAAATACTTGGAGCAAAGATTTAGAAACGGACATTGCAGCAGTGGACTGAAAATTGTGTTGCAACTCAAACAGTGAATTCACACCTCAGATTAACACACTGTAACTGGTAAATGCAAACATCTATGTAAGTCTTGCAGAGTCTAACCACAATAAAATGACTAAATGCACAAAGACCAAATGTTACACTCTGGATTAGACAAATGATGCCACACCTTCTAGTAGAAAGAACAAACACAAGGAGGTATGAGCAATATCTGAAAAGGTTGAGGGAGCTTTCTTGAGCTTTGTGATCAGTATGTAAGGAAATCAAATGTACTTTGTTGTCTAATTATTGTTAAAGAACAAAGAAATCATTAAAAGCTGCAACATTCTGTAATTTTCTTAACAGCTACTATATTTTCTATAGTTGGTATCATCTGCTGAGCGGCATGTCACTGGGGAATTCTTCTTAAAGGACACAATGCAAGTCGTGCAGTGTGTTGACAGTTTTATTTTGGAACAGGATGGTTTGGAAGCTACATCTAAAAAAAGACCAGTGAATTTGGTGACCCTGTGACCTGATCGGGCTAATGAACAATTTGTTTATACTTGGTACCAGGAAAATTTTGGACTTTATTGACTTTTCCACAGAATATTAAACAAGATCTAATCACGTTTTGGTGCACTAATGTAAGTGTACTCAAATTGCTGCTAAGACTTGGTACTTTACCGTACTGTAGTGCCTGTTGTTTTGCTTCATATTCGACGTGCAATATTATAATCTTTTAATCCCAAACAAAATTTAGGTAATTAAATGTGTAAGATAGCTAACAGTAACAGATGGTGATGCCACTAGTTTTGCAGTTATATGAAAAATGATAGAATGACCACACTTGGAGAATATTCATCAGATTTTTGTTGTTGTCGTTTTGCTTTGGGGGCTTTTTAGCAAACAGGCAAACCACAGATCTCAAACTAAACTATTTTTTAATAGCTGAACATACTGACTACATTCTGTAACTTGCTTTTTCTTACTTTTTACCTATCATATATGTATACTGCATATTTTGAAAGAACTTTTCTTTTCTTTGCATGGCCACATAGCAAAGAAACAAAGATGACTGATTCTGATCGAACAAACTTAAAATGGCACATTCTGGAATTGCAGAAGAACATTTCAGCTATCAGAACATCTGGCTTACTGTTACCCACACTCTGAGAACTCGCAGGTGTAGTAAAAGTGCATTTCTTTCTTAGTGTGTGCAATTACCAAAAACTAGTCATTACTGGACCCTAAAGGTAAGGTAAAACTACTTCCTGAATATGGAATAAATGCACTAATTTTTACCCTTGTTCATATTATTCTTTTTCATAATTACGTGAACCTTTTTGAGGTACAAAAAGATGGTAAGTGGCTTGGTCCTTATATAGCACTCTAAGTGCTTTATACATACCTCATTCACTGCAGCACTTTTTTGGACCTAAGTGCTTTCTAGCAAACATTCACACACATTCATGCTGTGATGAACGAATCACAGAGCACCTTTGGGTTCAGTATCTTGCCCGAGAGTACCTAAGTATGCAGGCTGGAGACTGGAGCAGCCAGGGATCGACTCACCAACCTTCCAATTAGTAGATGACCAGCTGAGCAATATATAAAGCATAAACCATATAAAGTCTCCAGGTTTACAAAGCACATCTTTACACCATTTCTTCAAGGCATAACATTATGAAACTATCTATGCTTAGTACGATTGAAAAAGAAATTGGGAAGAAGTTGTAATTTTACTCTTAGATTTTAAGGACTGGCCTATCTTAAGCTGTTTGGAAAGCCTTCAATGCATTATGATAAGTTTCATTGGACAGTCTATTGCATCAGCATGATGGTGCAGTGGTTAGAGGAGTTGCCTCACAGGAAGAAGGTTTTGGTTTCAAAGCCAAACCTTCCTGGAGCTTTTCTGCTCCCTGAGGCTGCTGTGTTTTTGTTTTGTTTTCATCAAAGAGATTTAAAGATCCATCCTATGTTAACTACTGTTTCTAAACATATTATAAACAAAAAAAATCTCATCAACTGATATTAAAGACTGGTTCATGTGTATTGTTCATCCTTAGCTCATTGACAAACCATTCTAAGCAGGCCTGGATAGGCAGGGGACCTTGTTAACACTTATCTGTTAGTCTTTAATCTTGTTATTTGATGTTCTGTTTGGTTGCCATAGTTGGTTGTTGTTACTTTTAATTTTTGTAATTATTTCTGCCTGCATTTGAGTCTTCAATTTAGATTATAATTGAATACCACAACCAACAAAATGAAGCCTTTGGACAGCAGCAAGTGGCTCTTTCCTTCTTAAAGGTGACTATTGATCTTAAGCCATAGCTCACTCCTGAGTATGGGCCGGTCTTCAGGGAAACTCCTCTGGACATGTAAACCATAAAAACCAAAAGTGTCACCAGTAAAGTTGTACCACACCTTCCTAGTTCCTCCTTAACTTTGGTCCTTCCTGCTAGCTGGTTGTAGGCTTGCTGCGCAACCAGGTGATCACCCACTTGCTACAATGGCTGCCACATGTTTTCCAGAGCCCACTTCCTCTAGCTCTTCAAAAGGGAAGCATGGTCCTTGCTAATTCCCTTTCTCCTTATCACTGTAGCGGCCCAACCTTTCAACCTAGTCGCCACCACTCTGTGCAATCAGAGTCATCCTGCCTGGCCAG